AAACATTTCATTTCTCGCAACAATTTTACTTAAAAGTAAGTAACAGGCAATATAATTCATGAAATAAATTTGCTATTGAATGAATATCAGTTCACATTGAAGAAGAAATCAATAACTTCCTCCGTTAAAGTTTAGTCATTAAACTGAAGTCAAAGGTAGTTGATCACCATTTATTTTTTTTCATTATCTTCATGGATAATAAGGTCATCGAAGACCTTTTCTTCATAATGAATTATGTGCTATTGCAGAATTATAGTTATTATTACAAAACTTTCTAATGAAAAGATTCAATAAATCAATGCATTATAAAAAAAACATGTTGCAAAAAGTGTTGATACAGGTACCTGGACGATTTTTAAGAAATCATTGATAAGCTAAATGATAAGCTAAAATGATCAATAAGTCATAACAAGTCACAGTTCTATTATTATCTAGCATTATATGTTCTCTCAGTAGCTCTATTTCCATTTTACTTGTGTTTTTTCATAAGTTTTGGTAATAGCAGTATGTGTAATCCAATAATTTATTATTTATAGAATAAAATTTTGTGCACTTACTTACTCATTTACCGAATTTCGACTCTCCAGGCTCCTCTGCTGCGTACGCGCCTTCCCCAGTCTTACAGATTAAGTTCACTGGAGAGGTAGAGCGGAGACACGGTCTTCTGTGTCTTCTTCCTCCAACTACTGCTTCAAACACCTTTTTCGCTGAAGCATCTTTATTCATTTTCACGACATGACTAAGCCAGCGAAACCGCTGGAAGTTAATGCGCTGAATTATATCACATATATTATATATATATGATGCATATATGATATATATATATATATCGAGCTCATACAACTCATGGTTTATTCGTATATGGTAGTCGTCGCTAACTCGTAGAGGACCCAAGATCTTACGAAGAACTTTTCTCTCGAACACTCACAGTATTGCTTCATCATTAATTCGTCCTTCCTTTTGCGCCATATAGAAGCACGGAAGGGATCAGCAATTAATAGAACATAATTTTCATTTGTGGAGAGACAGAGAGTTCACTTTTGTGTAGTGTTGCGATTATTTTCCTTCATAAATATAGTAATATCAATTTTTAATTTTTCGGCATCAATTATTTTGGTACAAGGTATTAACTCCATAATTATATCGAAGTTTTGTGTCATTCCACAGTTGGCTTCTATGAAAGTCAACTGTGTTCCGGATCAACAAAAAACCTTTTAGCTGTGTTTCCATCATTGAAGTTGCTTACAGTTTGTTTAGGCTGTTCCTTTATTAGCTTTCTTTTTTCGAAATTATTTTGGATTACGCTTTTTGCTCTCTGCTTTTAAGTCACTGTTTTCAAATCAACTTTTACTGATCCTGATGATTCAAGTTCTATATTATAACCTCTTTTAATAATTTGATCCAACAACCTAATTCTAACCTAAGAAACGGAAGATTTTCTTCAATCATGGCTCATACTTGGTGTAAAATATGCCATCATCGAAATTAACAGAATTTTATATCCTCCGAATACTTCCAATGAGTTGCTTCAAATATTTTTATTATGATAAATTTGTTTTATAAATTATTAAAAATATTATTATAATAAATTTCTTTTAAAGAAAATGTTTGGTTAAATTATAGAAGCATACTTTTATGGGCGAACGAGTGTTTTGCACAAAATTGGCATTTATTAAATTAAGCTCCTTAAGGATCCAATAGAACTAATAGAGCAAGTAATAAACACATTAGGAGAATATATTTTACTGTCTCACCTGTACTGACCTCTATACGATCTGATTTAAATTTGAAAATGCTGAAAAAATATTTTCCAATAAAAACATTAAGAAACATTAAATTTTGTATGAATTTTTGTTCAAAAATATATTTTTCAGTGAATAAAAATTAAAAAATTCTTGGTCGGTTGTAATAAAAGATTTTTGCTGTTATAAAAAAAAAAAATTATAAAAAAAATTTAAATTAATTTAACAGAAATGCAAATAATAACTTTGAATTTCTGTTGAAGGTTTAATAAAAAAATATTTTTAAATAAATTTTTAAATTTGATTTAATTAGACGGTGATGAAAATTTATAAGTCTTTCATCTAAGATTTTTAAGCTGAAGATTTGATATTTTAAGGCTTTTGAGTAATGAAATTGAGTTTTGAACCAATCTTCTGCACCGGTATATGTATATTACTGTCATATACAAGTGTTATACCCTAGGGTTTAACTAACGCTTAACATAACTAGTAGATGAAGTAAATCTATTTTTACGATTTATCGATTTTTAATCGATTTATGTTTATGTTTATTTATGGCTAACACTCTTTCTGATATCTGAAACATACTTCTGATTCTGAAACATATTATATGTATATGAGTAAGTCGTTCGATAAAACAAACAAATTATAATTAATATAAGTTTATTACCTAATTTAGTGCTTTGTTTTGAGCATTAATGTGATATTTCAAAGCATTAATAATGTTTTGAGTTTAACTTTAGTTTCTTCTTTTTAATGCAAGGACTACTTTTTGTATTCTAAATTATAAAAATTTGAATCTAAACTACCTTTAGTATGTCTTATAGTCATAAAAGTCACTTAAAAAGTTTCTTTTCTGTTAAAATTAGAATAAAAGTTTGCAAACGGAACTTCTATGAGTAATCGCAACTGAGATTCATTAAATTGTTTTGATATTTTTTTAATTGTGACTTGTACGACGAAAGAAAGCAACGAGGTGTGAAGAGATTCGCTAAATTTTATGAGATTAGTTAGTAAAACTTTGGATTTCATGTCGGATGTCATTTAAGCTGAATTTGCACTCCTCATTCTTAGCAACTTCACTACTTCGGATTATTTTACAACCTTCATTTATTAACACTGGATTAGTTGGGAAAGGAAAATTATTTTTAAAAGAAATGAAATTAAACTTTCGTAATTCTTTTAACTTTTCGTTTTTTTCGTTTTTTTCGTTTTTTCTCGTGTAATGTCAGTTTTATCAAACTGACAAGTAGAAAGTTTTGCCTGATTATATTTCACTGTCATTTTTTCTTGAAGAGCATGAAATTTCTGAGAAATTTGACCAAGATGACAAAGTGAATATAACTGATTCCCTGTGCTTTGGCACCAAAGATAACGTTTTTACAATGGCAGCGCATAAGGAAGATGCGTTTGCTTCAGTTACGCAAATTCAATTTCAACTTCAGCGCTAACTTATCTTGAAAACCAACACTCGGAACAATTGTGCACATAGCAGTACCCGTTGTTGGAGTGAAGTAAACAAGGGAACGGTCAAATCGTTCACTGTCAGTTGGCGTGCTAAGGAATGTGATGAGCATGTCCTTTTTCGTCTCAGTTAATTTTTTGCAGTTTTCTTTTTTGTCCCTCCATTGTCGTCACTACAATTTAACCAAGCTTAATCAAAGGGTTGCTAGGACTGTTGTTCATTCCGCATATTTTCATGTTCCTCATTTTTTCCAGCTGCCATCCATTTAGTTGCGTTCTATTTTGTAGGTTATGTGATATTTTATAAACTATTCGCAAAGTGTTAAAAGCAGAGACACAGCTCACAGCTCACAGCTATTGTAAAATAGAAATTCTTTGGCAAAATTCTTTAGCTTAACAGTTTTCCATTGAATTGTACTCCATTTGCACTTTATAAATTCTATAAGGAATTTAAATTAAAAGGACTTTTTGACAGTGCTGTCAATTTTGATTCATGCCTAAGTATACATTCCACTCGTTTCGATAATCTGACGGTTGTCAATGACTTAACTTGGACTTTTGCGTGACGAAACTTCTATGATTTTCTTTCTTGTAGAAAAATTTTTAATTAAACTTTTTTGTATATACAATATCGAAAGTTATTATCAAATAACTATTCAAACTTTCATTCTGGGAACATTACTTTAATGATGAAAACAGAAACTTCCTATCGATCTGTACTCTTCTCCCTTCCCGTATTACTGATTTGATTCTATTGCACAACATTAATACTGCTGATACAGAACTCATAGGATAGGAACAGTTCTATGTAATGGAAAGCATATTTTTCTAATAAAACACGTTTAAGTCTTGCATATATCCCAATATTTTTAGCTTTGGAATAACAAATCCAGAAATTAAAGAAAGAAGTTTATCTCTAGTGACTTAAAAACTAGTGGGGGAGTGCCTTCAACTTCTCAAAGGTCTTGCTGAAAGAAACAGAGTCCACTTAGTATGTATCCTAGGCCACAGCGGATTTGAGGGAAATGAGAAGCCCTATGAACTAGGGGCGGCCTCATATTATATTGGGCCAAAACTATTCATGAAGCTTTTTCGAACTTTAAATTAATGAATAGCAGGAAAGAGAAGTTCAGATTGATTGGAATAATGTGATTGCCTGCCGACAAGCTAAAGAATTCTTGCCGAATTGCTCAAAAGCCAGAACTAGAAAGCTACTAATGTTGAACAAAAAAGGCATCCGACTTGTCACAGGATTTCTTACTGGGCATTGTAGCCTTAAGAAGCAACTATCGAATCTAGGTATTACAAGAGAGGAAAGCTACAGACTTTGTTACTAAGAGAAGGAAACAGCAGAATACATTTTGTGTCACTGTAATAGTATCGCCAGACTCAGACTTCGGTACTTATAACTGGCTATCCATTTATAATGGCATTTGAACTAAATTGGGTTTGTCACAATCATCCTCAAAGGGTATAGTTACATGGTGATATAGCTTTCAGTCCTTTCAAAATCTAATCTAACCTAGTATTAGTTTGTTTCACTATTTGACTGGTGGGTGTGTTAAGTTATGAACCTTGACTATATTTACATCCAATTGGAGGTTAAATAAATCTTGTAGATATGACATAGCAAGCCATGGTGTTCCTTCAGCAAAATTGTCAGTTATTTTAAACTTCGTTTTGTCAAGAGAGGGTGTGTTAAATCTTGAACTAAGTAAACACGTCTTTATTTGTCAATTTATTTTCTTTGAAACACAATTTTTTCTTGAAGTTTAATATAAAATAAAATAAATTTTAAAGAAGTTATAAATCGAAAATTCGAAGCATTGCGTTTTAATACAAATTTTAACTAAAAATCATTAAATCATGGCAAAATTTATTCCAGTTACAGAACAGAATATAAATGTTCAAGAGACTAAAGAAGAGGGTAAGATCGTAGCTTCAAAAAAATCTTGTTTCATCAAAGAAATTAATAAATTAATCACAGAGATAATCAAATCTGAAATTGGAAATGCGAAACAAATTATTGAAGCTGGAGGTGATGTAGCCCATAGCAACTTGTTATCGAGGCACTCGCCTCTTCACACTGCAAATCGCATCAAGTCGGAATCTACTGACAGTGCATTAAATGATGTTTATCTTGAGGAAACTAGCTCAAATTCTTCTGAAATCTCAAGCTCTATCATGGTAATTCCATCTATGTTAGTGCTGCATGCATGGCGCAAGCAAAATAATGCTTTAGAAAAGAAGATTGAAGCCGAGTGCTCTTTAATATTAGAGCACAAAGAAAGAGTTTTAAGGATTGAAAAATATTTTTCTGAGAGCCGTCGTAATTGTACGATATTGATGAAGGAGTTGGAGGAGAATATAGAGTGCATTAGACGCATGGAGAAGTGTGCTCGCTTTTGGTTACATGCACTCGAAACAAGAAGTAGAGAGAAAATAGATTTCGAAACGACGCTAGCGTTAAGAATACAAGATTGTGAGTTGGCCTGTGATGTATTAAAGCAATTGACATATGAATTATTTATCTATAAACAAAGAAATAAAAATATGAGAGTAAGTCTTGAGATAGCGAAACATAAATCACAGAAAATGAAGGATGAAATAAATCTTTTAAAAACCTACAAGAATAAAATTGAGAGAATAATTAATGATAAATTAGAAGAAAATCTTTTCGTAATTGAAGCGATTAATAACATTGAAGCGAAATCAGATATTGAAATTGTACAACACGAGGCGGAATTATTAGTAAACAGCCAAAGTAGTTATTGCAAATATTTTGCAAGAGTTGAAGGTATCATCTTATCCAGCCGCAAATTATTTAAAGTTGTGGGTGCCGCAATAACTTCCAACAAAGCAGCTTACATATTGTACTCACTTAATTTTATTTTATTACCAGTGTTTTCATCTCCCTTTAATTTAGAAAATCCATTCCCAATCTCATTCTCCAAGTTATACCTTGGAGTTTTTGATTTTGGATTAAAGCAAATTCAAAAACGCAGAAAAATCCACAAAATGTGACCATAATATCCTCTTATCTTAATATATTTTTTGAAGGTATTATAAAATGTAAACTCTTAATAATATTCTTAAATATAATAACTTAAATTTTTAATAATATTTTTTAATTATTTTTGTTTCTTCATTAGAAATCAGTAGCAAAAAATTTAAAACATAGCAAAATTCTCTTTATATTATATTATAAATGGACCTTATGAGTTATTTAATTAAACTAAATTTTATTCACATAATCTGAGCAGTATATAGTATAGAGCATAGAGAAAAAACTATCAATCATTTATATAAAACTGGGCAATACACAGTGATTGATATCTTTAAAATCGTCCCTGACAACTCAAATTCTTGTGGAAATACTCAATATTGATGACTCACCAAATAATTGGATTATCACCACTATGGAAAGCTTTATAAAAATTAACAGTTCGAATACTACACGTTTATTATTATAGTGACTGTGAATTAACATATACGAGTATTAACTTTTAGGATTCTTAAATGAATTTTTAAAATTTTGATGATTAAAAAGATTCTATCACATCACATATCAAAAGGATTATAACATCAACTGCAAGGTTTTGCAAAATGAGACCACTTTGTATTTCATAAAAATATGGATTATAATATAATCGAAATTTTGAAAGGAGTTCACGCACTAAAACCCAGAATTCGAGTGCAGAGGTTGGCTTAGTAAATAGAAAATGGAATCTAATTTTTTTTTCTCGTCTCCATCTGGAACTGTAGACAAAGTCGTTCCAGTGTCTATGAGACAATTTCTGTGCTGGTCTGTCAGATCATATCGAATGTCCTCAGCTTAAGCTGGAAAACCAAATGGTTTAACAAGGGCAGCACGGAAATATAATATGGAAACAATGTTTAGCAGAGCTCATCATCGGTTTTCAACTTAGATGAATTTAATTGTCTAAGAGTGTAAGGGTTGATGATCGTGTCAACATGTGCCTTTTAAGTCTAAATCTAAATCTTTTGCAGGAATCACATAAAGGTGTAAATATCAATTAATTGTATGTTGATCTTTTCTAACTCAAAGTGTAACTTGCCACCATCAACCGAATTTTTAAAATTACATGATAGTATGCTCTCAAGGTTTTATATTAATGTCGTAATGTGATGAATATAGTTAAAAAGTCTGATAAATCCGCTAAATGCTCAAAACTTTTTCTTGACAATTACTTTTAGAATTTCTTAGAATAAAAAAATTACAATAAATTGTAGTGATTATAATCGCATTTAACACCGTAATTTCAAATAATTACGCATGATTTGGGATGTTATCATCTATCATCTAATCGGAGTTCGTTGTAACTTCACGTATTTTTAAGGTAGAGGCTACTTACTTTCGTCATTAACTTACTCTACTTTAAACTTCCATTTTTTTTTTACTGTATTCATGAAGTTAACTCATCTAAGATTACAAAATGATCGAAAATATGCCTTTAACAGTACGTCATTTACATTAATTGTGGAAAAAACTAATATTAAATTAATAGTAGGAACATAGTACCATATATGAAATTGTTAGGTTGTTTTTTGGCATAGCTATGATCTATAGATCATAAGTTAAATTTTTTTCTGATTTTGTAGTTCATATTCTATCAAAAGTTTTGAGTTCTTATGTGAAATTTGATGCAATTTATAAACACAACATCAAAAAATATTAAATGGATGTTTAGAAAACTAACTAGGGTAGGATATATAAACATTTATTCAGTTAACCTTATAGGATCCACTGATCAAACCGTAGTCATACGAAAACATTCTTGAATTCTCAAAAGGTAATTTAAGGTTGATAACGGGTTCCATTTTGGGTTCCATTTTGGGTTTCATTACATGATATTTTGGTCTGAAATATCACCTACATAAGCTACGATTATCTACTAATTCGGAATGCAGATTATGCCTCGATGAAACAACTATGCACATTCTTTGTGACTGTCCAGCTTTAACAACGCACAGAAGCAACTTATTTTATATGGAATATCTGTCACCAGAACAGATTAAAAGCTTCTCTCCAGATTTAGTTCTGGACTTTGTTTGTAAAATTATAAAAGGCTTTGTACAATTAAAAGTGAATTTGGTACAATAGGACTCTTCTGGCCGCAGTACCAGCTGTTTAACGAATTAACGACAATAATTTTAATAAAAATAATAACCGAATAGCGTTAGACCGGATTTAACAATGGGTTGTTATAAGTATCTGATTAGTGCGTCTACATACGCGATTAAGACTTGTATAAATCATAACAATGACTTCAAAAGGAATCAATTCGAACTAAATACAACCCTGCGTTAGAACAAGTTGTATGATATAAATTAATAAAAAGTAACATACCTGAGAATGAGGTAATGACATGAGTAATATGTTTGTCATTAAGTTGTCATTGAATGTTCAAAAGTGACAACTTTTTTTATAAAAAAACATTTATTCTGATTTCAAAAAATTTTGATTAAAACAATCCAATTTTAATTCGTTTTCAACTGGTAACTTGAAGAATAATGTCAGAGCTTACTCCAGTTAAAGAAGCCGAAATGGAGGTTGAGAAGGCTGATCATAATTTTAAGAATGATGAAAAAGAGACTCAATTCAAAGAGCCCCTGCCTTTTGTTGGACAAAAATTTAACTTTGCTCTATTAAATGATGAACAATATTCAGAATGTTCTGACTTTGTTAACAAGAGTGATGAAGATACTATTGGCGAGGTTGTGTATCCGATACTGACTTTAAAGAGTAATACAAAGGCGAAACTTAATAGCCCAAGTGATACTTCTGTAGAAGTAAGTCATTTTTACTTTAAATAACATAAATTAAGATTTAAGATTTTTACTATTTGATAATATTTTCATATAATATAAATATGTCTTTTGGCATATTTTAAATTATTCAATTTATCTTCTTATATTTTAACACAGCTTTATATTTATATGTACAAGTTATAGTTATATACATCTTGTTATTGTTGTTGTGATTTGAATAAGTGCTATTGCGCACTTTTACTCTTTTGTGGCTGGAGGGCTTATCCCTGCCTCACACTTAACTTTAACTATACTAGAATCATTATCATTTATTTATCTTCTAACTGATGACGAACCGTAGATCAGCATATCGTTCAATTTCTGACTTAAACTATATATTCGTTGGAACAAAAAAGTACCTAACTATGATTTGTAGATATAGATGTAAAAACAGCTTCTTACTACCCACAATAATAGTAGTATACACCTCTTATTGTAATGTGAAACTATTTTAAAAGTAAATCAAATTTTAAGTTATTACTTCATATTGCATTTATTATCTTAGTATGAAAATTCTCGTCAAATTTCTAGAGCAGATATCTGGTTTAGCTTTAATGACTTAATCCAAAACAAAAAGTATTAAGTTGAGATTTATCCGATTTCATATCGCATAGTCTATCGATGCCCTCCATTACAGTGAAGTTTCATATATGGACGCATGTACTGTGATATATTTGTACAGTGGAAATATCACATTACTGCTTATGGGAATTCTTGTAAAATTTTTAAAGACACTTTTCTATTCTAACATGAACATCCATTGAGTCTGTTAATAAGTTTAACAATATCTTTTCTTTGAGTTTTTAGATCCCTTTAAACAATTTTTATTTTAAAATCGAACCTCGAAAGTTTGGGTCTATAACAAACATATGTATATAAAATTTAGTTCATATTTATATTGTTGACTGTAGTTCCTTTTACGAATTTAAGACTTTTTACCCTGGATACCTAAAATAATAGAGAAATGTATTATAATAACTATTAGATCACGGAAACACTATTCATATAAGTAAAAAGTTATTATACAATATAAGCAGAAGTTTGAAAATAATCAGAAGTTATTCTCTTTGAAGTGATAGTCCATCAGATCGTTTGTACAAGCCTAAGGTGCGTAATCAGTTGACGGCAGGGTGTCGTTAAACTTACTGGCGCATGATATTGCCAATAGATGACCTTTCTGCAAATAACTGTCTTTATAAATACTTTTTACTTTAGATTTAATGAATTTATAACTAATTAATGTTTTTGAGATGTGCATTCCATCACCCTTAATCAAAATTTTAGATGAAATTTGATAAATATATGCGGAGTTTTGATGAAATCTGAAGTGATTACAGATTTCGGTTGACTTACATTTTGCTTAACATTTAGTATTTCTTGATCAATTTTAAACTTCAATTAGGGAATTGCTTTACGGCATTTAACTATAAGTAAGTTTGGGCTTAGGTAAGCACATATAATGATTCTACCTGTTGCTACAAATAACCCGTATTTTATATTTCATATCCAGTTTTGAATTCTTAATCTTATACTTAAAATATTAAGATTCATTTTTGATACGAAAGTGAACAGTAAGTATTTAAGTTTCTTTCTAGCTTGTGTTCCTCGTGACTACATAATACATTCTTAGAATATATTGGTACACATATATATGTACCATATTGATTCAATATCAACATACAATTATAATATACCAGTCATTGAAAGTATTTTAGTCCGCTTGATCTGCAAATGAATACAAAAAAAATCTGTCAAATTGTATTTGAGATATGGTCGAATCGAACTCATAAGAAAGGAAATAAAAGTATAAATATTGAGTAGAATAAACTGTAATGGAAAACGGAAGAATAACAAATTTGTACTTTGAATATATACGATTTTATATAAACTTTTCCATAAAATTATTTTTAATAATTTTTCTGCTTTTATAAATAAGACTTCGAATAGAAATGAAAAGACAACAACAAAAAATATAGTTAATTTATTAAAATTTGGCTAACCATACAACACTGTTTCGAGTGTTGCCAAGTACTCATCATTAGTTGTCTTAGAAAGTATTCGTTTTTCTTAATTAGTTTATAGTCCGTATATAATTGGTTTGGACTGCAAGTGCTAGGCTTAGAAATCGTGTCTGTCAAATTAGAAGCGAGAAGCGACGACTAATCGTTTTTTCCCACATGTAGCCAAGACTACACAAACTTTCAATGCTCAAGTTCCATGTTTTTTGTCACTTTACACTTTTTAAGTATCAAGTAACCCTAACCAAAGACCTTGCCGTGCTTTAAGTTAGAACGAGCATATAAACTATAGCTTTATTTGAAAACACAAGTTCAACGAACTGAAAATTAATTTTTGAGGTTGCCCGTTTTTATTTCAAAGCTAATCTTTTTACTTTTACTTTATATATCAAACAATAAGACAATATATACAATATATATGTATAAAAATTCTACGTAATATTTTGGAAAGTTTTAGATGGCATCCATCGTTGGTTTTGCTGTTGTTATAGACTCTTATAGCAGCTCTCAAATGAGAGCTTGAATGAGAGCTTAAATGAGAATCGTAAATCGAAGACATGCAAGTTTTTGTGATTACATATTGATTTTGATTACCATTGATGAATTTTAGATAATCTTCTTTTTATTAAGAGAGTAGACGTGAAAATTGCCTAACAGCCGGTACTGCGGCCAGAAGAGACCTATTGTACCAGTTTCACTATTGTTTAAACAAAGCCCCTTAAAGCTTTGTGAATAAAGTCTAGAACTAAACCTAGAGAAGAGTTTTTAATCTGTTCTGGTGACAGAAATTTTTTATGAAACAGGTTTCTTCTGTGCGTTATTAAAGCTGGACAGTCACAAAGAATGTGCATGGTCGTTTCCTCATCTTTGAGGCATAATCTGCATTCCGAGTTAGCAGATAATTGTAGTTTATTAAGGTGATATTTCAGACCATAATGACCTGTAATGAAACCTGTTATCAACCTTAAATTACATTTTGAGAATTTAAAAATGTCTTTGTAGGAGTTCGGTGTTATCAGTGCTTTGCTTTGTCTGAGTCCTGGAAAGTTTACCCAGTACTCCAGCCGCATATGATTTTCCATTTCCTTGATAATCTGTTTTGTACTGGCCCAGTTTATTCCACAAAAGGGTTCAGGGCCTATAAAAGCAGTTTTTGATGCAGTTCTGGCTAGCTCATCAGCTTTTTCATTTCCCAAAACTCCTCTGTGGACCGGAACCCAGTAAAGGCTTACCTTATTCCGAGCTGCAAGTGATTGCAGAAGCTCGTAACACTCAAGGACCTGTTTTGATTTGAAAGTCCAAGTAGATAATCTTCTTCACTTCGATTAATATTAAAAATAATTCACTTTATTGCAACTATTTTGATCTTTCGTTTTGAATTGAAAAATTATATTCGGTCCTTCATGTACTTTGAAACATAAATCCACTAATAGTACTAATCGCCAGAAAATAGTCAAAAACTTAAATTTTCTGGAGTATTAAATTTTAAATTTTTTTTTAGATTAAAGCTCCAAAGTTGAAAGCAACCGATGAAGTGAAGGCGGAGTATTTGGCTATTAGTCGTGAGGAGGACAAAAGGCAAAGCGATGAGTGGCTTCATAAAATAGAAAGTGTTGATGAATCAGTGAAAGGAGTCGCCGATAAGGACGAAAATTCCGAGCAGTGTATTGTGTACCCAACCCTAAAGTTAAAGAAAAAGCCTAAATCTAAGAGTGATCTCTCGAGTGAGGCAGCTTCCAAGGTTTGTATTTAAAAAAATTAAAAAATCTCTGAAGAAAATGTAATTGATTTATGAGAGTTAAATAATAGAAATGGATGTTTTATGGGAGAGTAGAGGAATGGGTAAAATGAAAACAGATGATAGTTTTAAATATGCTAAACATATTTATAAAGTTATAATGTTAGTCTTCTTATATCAAGTTTTTTTCCTTGATGTCAACGGTTTTTTCTTTAGAACTGTGTTATTATAAAGCCGATTAGATATAACAACTCCATTAATATTCTTTGTTCAATGAAGCCATAAAATGATATGGAATCCATATTATATGGGTATTTCACAGACGGTGTATCTGGCATATTTTAAATAACTCCGACGATAACGTCACAATATTTAACAATGTTTATTCTTGCTATTTTAAATTTTCATATTTTTAATGAATTTTAGATTGTACTGCAAGAAAGCAATATTGAGCAAAAAATTAGAACTGAAATGCAATCAACACAGAATAATCAAAAATCTCATATTGCGAAATCGGTTCGTGGTGATCCTCATTTAGTTGAAAACTTGAGTAGCAATGTAGATCATAGTGTGGTGCCATTAGAGAAACTGGAACTGATCAAAGGTTCGAAATCTCTTAAAACTTTTTGTAAACCTGAATCGTTAAATGAGATCAGTCTCCAAAAGTCGAATTCATTGGTGGATTTAAAAAGTTTGCGTCTACGTAATTCCAGAGTATCCTTGACAATAGAAAATGTGAAAATGGCGACTGGATGTGCTGAGACTATAAAAGACCTTACTGGTTCATGCTTAGCTTTGGATGTTTTGCAACAACTACCAACTAAATACTTTCTTCAACAAGGTTTTCTTTCTTCCAACAACAACAGTGAATCAGGCATTAAGTTTTATTCCTTACTCATGTTGAACACGTGGCGCAAACAACGTTTGGAAGTTGAGAGGATGAAACAAGAAACTGAAGAGGTGAAGCAGAATTGCAATAACACAAGAAACCAAATCTATGTACTAAACAACCTCTATCGTATCGAAATGAAGTGCAACATGGATATGCAAGCTCATTTAGGGGTCGTTGTTGAGAGTATCCGTGAAAACAAAGGCATTGCCAAATCGTTGACAGAACAATACGATTTGCGTTCTGTAGAAAAATCTGTGCTTGAGAAAAATTTGCAGTCAAAGAACATAGAATGTCAAGCTCTTAATGAAGTTCTTACAGAAATCAAAAATAAGCTATTCGGTTGCAATCATTCCATAGAAGAGTTTCAAACACTCATAGATGAAGAGCAGGGCAAGGGCGCAGTTCTTAATTCACAGTTAGATGATCTAGTAGTCGATATTGCTGATTTGAAACGTAAAAATAAGGAAAAAGTGAATAAAATTAGAAAGGTTATCACGAATAGAGAGACAGCGATTAATGAAAAAAAATTAAAAATTGAAACAGCGAAAGCTACATCGGAACTATTGAATGAAGCACATGAAGAATTCGGTGACTATGAAGCGGCTACAGCTCAGTGGAGATTGCAAGTTCAGGAATTACGTGAAAAAGTTGTTGTCTTGCAAAATGAAATCGAAAATAATAGGTTGATGAACTGGGTCAAGAATTCGTTGGTTAACATCCTGGATCCCGAAACAAAAGTAGCACAAGCTATTCACATCATACTTTACCTATTACTCCCAGCGGTTCCTCCACCAAGATCGATTCAGTTTCCTTATGGATTTAGTGTGGGCAAATCTTTGAGCTTTATTTCACACAAGTAAATACTTGGAAATTTTTTATTTTAATTTGGTTTGTTTATATTATTAAGCAAAAGTACTTATTAATAGCACTTAAAAAATCTTTAATTTTAATGTTGAAATTTACTTTAAATTCATTAAATTTATAATTATTTAAATTATAAAAAAATTTTTCTGATTGCATATAAAATAAAAATATTAGTAAGTCGTTATGTTGACAAATTAATCAATAAAGTTATGTCAGAAGCCTATCTACCCAAAACCTTAGAAAAACTGTTATAGATTTATGACATTTGTGCTGTGACGAAAATCTTTTCAATATAAACAGTTTTCAAAGAGATCAGTTCGAACACAGCAGGTTTATTACTAATGCTAATCGAAGTTTGTGGCTTGTATGAAAAACCTGAAAATAGAGAATATCTTTAAGGTATAAATAATGGCTGGAAAATATATAAAATGATACAGGAAGAAGAAAACAATCACAAATCTTCCACCATTGCGGGAACTAAGACAGATTCCTTGGTCTTATTTAATACTATGTATGTATAATAGTAGTGGTATACCTATACATTATTATCGACAACTACGAAATAAAGTATTGTATTTGTTAGATTAAAGCTATATAAGTAAACTATAATACAGAATCCTCAATATCATGTACTAATGTACTTAAGTAAGACTTTGAAAATGCTCTCCGTAAGTAAACTTATTTGTGAATAAGTTAAATAAGATTAATAAGAGACGGCACACCTGTAATGACAGCAATAAGTAGTGATTTCATTTCACAAATGACAGATCAAAACATATTGATAATGGTGAAAATAAACAACAACCAAAGTGCTAGCTTAGAACAATGAAAAAAGCAACATAAGAAACTAAAATATAAAATGTGTCGGCTTACAATACCAAATACTTGGCAAATTTTTTTATTCAAAAAAATTCTTGGGTTTACCTGATCATACAGATATCGCAAAATATCTATTGAAAAAAAGTGTTGGCATCAATTGTCCGTATCAATTTTCGTAAGCATCAGATACTTAAGCCATGTCAACTTACAACCTTGAAAACTTCCGTGCTATTACCATTCCCTTCTATATGAAATTGACTTATTGCGTAGGACATAAAATTCTAACTAAAAATATGGTAAAAAAGAAAAATTTTACAAAAAATTTCTATTTAAAATGTCTTAATTAAAAGTTTTGAAGTTTAAACACTTCACACAGAAGCCGCTATGTATATTTGTAATAACATTCCTTCGTCAATAATTATCTGATAAATGGTAAAACATCGGTTGATAAGTCCATAGTATAGCTTACAAAAAAAAAATAGTTTTTGTGATATTCAACTTAATTTATCAACGTAGTATCCTTTCCTTCAAGAGTAATACAATCGTCCCAGCACTTCTCTTATATTTCGTTACCTCTCTTTTTTGGCGTGGACTTTTCCATCGGAGCTAAATCTCTTCATCGGGGGCAAGTTTGTGAGGTTTGCGAACAGGTCGTAATCGCTGAGGCAAGTATGTCGAATTCGTTAGGTTCGGAAGCAATTCGAAGTGTAATTTGTACACTTCGAATTAATGGTAGATGGTGATGGTAGTCATTTATTTGTATCACCATGCATTGTCTCGGTGAGAGATTCATTATTTCCTCCTTAAAAAGCATTGTAACAATTGCCATGGATTTTGTGGCATTTTTCAAAGTACTCGATGAACAAAATTTCAAGCGTATCCCAGAATACGGACATTTTGATCTTGCGAGGACGTTAGCCGACATATGTTTTTTTTATAAACAGTCAGTTAACGTAGCACCCCCACTGCGAATATAGCTTTCTCATAGCTCCTTTTTCATATTCATGAAAAATAAGTCCATCAAATTCTTTTAAAATCTTTAAGCTGTTCCTATCTATCTCCTGCAACTACACTTTGCGGTTTGCGCTGTCGCTGCCGTTGTATTATCCTATGGATTTATCAACAAATTTGTTAGTATTCTTAATGTACTATTTACGGACCGTTCAATTTTTATTATAGATAAAATGTTATTAGAACTTTTTTACGAATAATTAAGGTCAAAATAAAATAATTGCAAATTATAAAAATCCTCACCATATTCGTAGTCACTTAACTTAATCCCAGGTTGATTTGCTTATTCGTTATGCAAGCAGTTGCGGTAGTAATTGCAACTGATACCGTTAGACCGCAATAACACTCAATACTTAACGACGAAATTCATTCATGCTTTTGTACAGATGTTACCAATCAACACAAGTTGTGACGTCACTATGTAATACAATGATGCCATGTGACTTCATCATTTAAAATAACGAGAGAATAGTATAATATTAGTCTCTCTTAGACGTATAAGAGAAAAGTGATGTGCATGTGTTTTGCAAAGCATAATTATAGGCGCGCGCGCTCTTACACAATAACAATTTTGCCGTGACTTCCGTACGCTCATATTTCATTGATTGTGCTGTGCAATGTGCAATGTGCAAACCAGAGTAAACATTAAGGATGCCAATCTCGTTTAGTAAACCGAAGTAAACGAAGCCATGTGCATTTGTGAAAAACGGAAATAAAAAATGAAATAAAATATAAAAGGAATAACCAATCACCGCAACAACAAAGCACAAAAGCATCATCAACAGAAGCTACCACAACACGACAGCAGCCAAACAGCCAAACAGCCAAGCAGCCAAGCAGCAGATACAAGTCAACGTTCGACGAACGACGTCGGGTCATTGTGCTGTGCATTTTGTGTGCGCTTGGTGCATCAAAGCATTTCCAAAGAGCCAACTTTCGTGCTTCTGCTGCATAACTGTTATATGCCAGACGGATGCTGGGTGGAAAACTATTCGGCGCCTAAGTGAAAAGTGTTTGGTGTGAACATACGAAACGGTTTCATTTAAGTTGTGAACTATGTATTAAAAATACTGTGAAGCACGAAATTTTTGAATTTATTATAGAAATTCAAATTAATATATGAAGTGCAAAAAATGTGGCATATTTTTAGGCGCATTTACCTTTGTATGCTTGAACGCAAACAACAGACAAGTCTGCCGCTTTGAAGAAATGCGATTGTGTGTGTGATTTTTCGTACGCGGTGCCGTTTTCGTATTCGCTCGTATTCGTGTTTTCGGCTGCTTTCGTTGCTGTCTTGCATAAAAATAAACAAAATCGAAATACCGGCTTTTGTGTTTAGCGTACTACGAGCATCACACTTATTTGACTGAAACAAAGGTTCACAGCAAAGGTTGTGCTTACGCTCAACTATTCACTTGCACAACAAACTGCTCTCTTCTGCGCTCCGACTGCGCTCCGAGAGGCGCTTTGAATGCTGCGAGAATCTGTTATACACAACAAAATGGCTAAATGAAATATTCAAGTGGTTTTAATAAAAAATGTAGCGGTAAGTGCATTCCGTGAATTCAAAATACAAAACATACGAATTTCGCTGCCATATTCTATTCATGCACAAAACACTAACAACGAGACGATACTCATGCACACACACACACCACACACACACACACACACACAGACCATACTTTACATGCTTGTTTATAAATAAGTAAACACGGCAGTGTTAGGCAAACTGCCTTGAGTTGTTTTCTTTGTGCATTTTAATCAAATATGCCGATATTGCAGTGCTGCTGTCATTAAAATTCCATTTTGTCTCCTGCGCTTACTTTCCTGCTAACGATTTGCCATTGCCAACAATCACGATGGCTGGCCCCGCAACACTCCACGCCGCCTCACCGCTTGCTTACTGTTAACCGTAGTGCTGAAATTACTGCGGTGTATTTTTTGTGCTAGCAGCTTTTTTAATAAAATTCCTCCTTTCGAAACTGAAATTCGCATCCGAGTTTGGCGGGGTGGAGAGTCCGCCGAATGTGGTGCGCTCACCACGTGTGCGGAAAACTCTTAGTAGCAGCGGCAGACGAAATAAAAAATAATGGCGTCGGGTTATGCACTAAATATGCACGTGGTAATTTTGGAAGGTGATTTTTGCAGAGGTGGCAGGTGGTATGCAACGTCGGGGTTTGTATGTGAGTTCCAATTTGGCAATTAAGCGGGAATTCAATAAATGGTCTAGTGACTACACTTCGCAAATGCGTTTTTGTTAAGTGCATTCGAATAATCCATATATACTGGATTATTTTCAAAACTTGATGGAAAATAAATTATAAATAAGTTCTAACTTTGCTACTTACCTAGGCTAGCTGTTCTTATATATTGCTCATAGTAATATAGCATTTGAATTGGAGCAGTACATTTAAGTTACTGGTGCCCTTCTATATATTTTTCAACTCATGTGAAATTTTATCAGATCACAAGAAATTTCATCTCATAAAAGTTCTTTTTTTGTGGAAAGTGGAAAATATCAAAATCCACAGTGACTTGAACCTATTAAGGAACCTAAGAACGAGTTGAGAAAATCTCAGCCATCAGTCCGCGAAAGACTTCCTCTCATTTTTAGAATGCAATCACAAGAAGAATATTAAAAAACAAGAAGGTTCATATATGAATCCAAGTTTATCAAAGCTAGAAGTGAGAATGTCGTATTCGTTAATTATGAATGATGATTGGTATTTGCAAAAGTTTAGGACTTACGTACTCTACGAAGTAGGCTGCTACATTCGCAAATGAATAATGGAATTGCGTGGGGGAGATGATCCATCTCATTCAAGAAGCGATCAAGGGGTTGGTGCGGCGTATAAGACGGATATTGGAATACTCAGTGGAGATTTCCTCGGTGTGTAAAAATATAAGGAGGGAATTTATATCGATGAGTTAAATATCTGTACTAAAGATCTTTTAGGTCGCAGAGCATGTACAGCCTATCCATAATAATAATAATAAATAAAACTCAAAACTTCACAGTTTATTTGAGACTGGATCAACATTTTTATGCCCCATTCGCCAATATAAGTATCGTTGCTAGAAGAATGATATTGCCACAAGTGCGTAGTATGTGTAGTATGCTTTCACAGAGAAAATTGGTTTTATTAAAAATAGAAACCAAATTTTCTTGTGAAATAGTTTTTATATAACATGAATT